GATTTTCGCGAAACTTTGATTATTCTCCCGAACTTTCACTTTTTTATTTTGTGGCAAGCGACCCCGCCCACTAATGGAAGCTCCGCCCACTTTGTAGAAGCCCCTATTTTTTTTCAAAAATGATGCAGATCGGCGAGCTAGTGACCGTACTAGCAGGTTATGGCCTCTCCCGTCACCCGGAACAAAGTTTCCTTTTTTTGTGGTCTTTCCCTTTTTTCATTCTATGTGACGGGAGAGGCATAATTTTCGAAAAGTGGGCGGGGCTTCTACAAAGTGGGCGGAGCTTCCATTAGTGGGCGGGGCCGCTTGTCACAGCCTAAAAAAGTGAAAATTCGGAAGAAAAATCAAAATTCCGCGAAAAACGAAAGTGGGCGTGGTCAGAGGGGCGGGGCTTAGTGTGCTAGTGTGTAAATGCATGACTATATTCGTTTTGTGAAGATTGAATGTGAAAAAACGACGTCGAAAAAAGTTATAAAAATTCAGAACTATGTTGTGTACAATTGTAGCCCTACAGCTGTAGCGCGACGTAGCGCTACAAGTCTGAACGCTGCCTAAGGAGTATAGCTCACTTCGACCTCTATTGGTGTACCACGAGCAAAACATCCATAAATAATCGCAAAGGTTTTTGATTGCGTTCTAGGACTACGGAGCAACTTGCTTAAACTTCCTGCCGTGGCACTTCTATGAACCTGAGGGCAGGCGACAGCGGCTCCCAGAGCATCCAGGGACTCAAAAAGAACATATGGCCAAGATCCCAAAAATGAGCTCTTTTGTGAAGTTCAAATAACTAAATGAAGTAGGATGAAAGTAAGCAATTAAAATTTCAATCTTCATTTCCAGGATCTATCAAACAAGGACCTCATCAATCGTTCCAGTAGTGTTGGTTGGGAACAAAATCGATTTGAAACGTAATATCGTTATTTCTACTCTGGGTGAGTACTATTCATCATTAAAGCCATCAGTCATCGTAAAGGCACATATGCATTTCAATTATCCCGTACAGGACCTGAATTCATGGTGCACTGAAAAGCGGTTGCCCAATGCTAGACACCCTGAGGTGCGTGAACGACAGTTGAAACGGTGCATGGGGTCCGAACCGAAAGTATTTATGAAGGACAAAAGCGTTGAGCCTTACCAGTTCCTTTTCAAAATGCCCCGCACCTACCTCCATTCAGCACCGCAGCGACATTTTAAATGCGATATAGCCTGCACAATCACTTGCGGGGTCAGCCAATGTACAGTACGCGCCGTAAGTGTTCGAAAATGAAAAAAAACGCCAATCCGCGTTTTTTTTTCGTTTTTTCCGTTGTAGAGCTGTTCCTGTTGACTTTTTCTATGGATATTCTCATATTCTCTGGTTAGAATCAGCTGGCCGAGTTGTATCCGAGGGTATGCTCATATTCTACGACACTTGGGTTTTGGCCGGCGCCACTTGGCGCCACCTCAGCGCCACAACTTTCTCAACAACATCTGTATAAACTTGCTTACTGGGGTTATTCGGTGCCCTGTTCACGGAAAGTAACATTCATTTCTAGCCCATGGCGCGCGCCTAGGCCAGTTTGGCGCCACTGAGCGCCAGTTCGGGGACACGACTCTACGCTACAAATTCTGTATAAACTTGCGAAATGGGGTTTTTCGGTGGCCTGATCACGGGAGTGACTTTCGTTTCCAGCCATGGCGCCATTTGGCGCTATTGTGTGCCAATTTGGCGCTACCCCAGTTTTCGCCAAAATTGATAAAAACCTGCATGGGGTGGTGTGGTTCGATGCCCTAATCACGAATCGCCAGCCTTAGCAGAGTGATCGTAGAGTCCATTAGCGCCGGCGCAGAAAAAATGGACGTCATATTCGTAATTAGGATGTCAAGCGACCCGGTATACAAGTGCTCAACAATTTTGGTGATCGAGGGTTTGGCGCCAGCGCCCATGGCACGGGCGCCAAACAGTTAGGACCAAGCGGTTATGACACTAGAGTTCAGGAAATTAGCCGGCGCCTGTGGCACAAGCGCCAAGCGGATGTAATATTTGGGTCTATGGATCACGCTATCACGGGGACAAGTTTGCACCCAGTCTGCTGTTGCGAACTGCTTTGGCGCCGGCGGTAGACAGGTGCCAAGCGCACAAGATATTCGTACACGGAGTGAGACCACTCTAGTTGATTTGGTGATCTGAGGTATCTTTTGGCCGACTCTTGACCCCTGATTTCCTTGAAGTTCCCTCCATCAATTACACTGATGCAGAGTCCGATCGATATGCCTTGGTCGGCTCAGACTGTATGTGTTATAATGATCACGTGAATGTGAACTATAAAGACATGCAGTAATCACGTGAACAAGCGGCTATGGTGAGCGCATAGCCGCCTGCGCCGCAAGCTCACGTGATTTTTATGCCTTTGCAGTTCACGTTCACGTGACCATTCCACAACCAGGCTGCAAGTTTATAAAGATTTTGGTGAAAAAAGTAGTGGCGCCAAATTGGCACCAAATGGCACCGAACGGCGCCATGGCTAGGAATGAATGTTACTTTCGTGATCAGGGCACCGAGAAACCCCATTATGCAAGTTTATACAGATTTTTTGGGAAAGGTCGTGTCGCCGAACTGGCGCTCAGTGGCGCCAAATTGGCACCTAATGGCGCCAAATGGCGCCACGGCTAGAAATGAATGCCACTTTCGTGAACAGGGCACTGAATAGCCCCAGTAAGCAAGTTTATACAGATGTTGTTGAGAAAAGTTGTGGCGCTAAGGTGTCGCCAAGTGGCGCCGGCCAAAACCCAATGTCGTAGAATATGAGCAGCTCGGCGAACTGCCTCTAGCCATATATGGGTATCCATACAAAAATTCAACAGGAACAGCTCTATAACGGAAAAACGAAAAAAAACGCGGATTAGCGTTTTTTTTCGTAATTTTTTGAACAATTACGGCGAGTACTGTACAAATCGTAGACGAATCTGTCACTAATGAACTATCCCTCAAGGGTGAGAGGAATCGAGTCATCTTTTCACAACGACGTCAATGGTAGAATACAATACATTGTGACACACATTTATTCGCAACACATTTACTTTTAGAAGGCAAATCTCTGGCGAAAATCTACAAATGCAGTTTCGTCGAGGTATCAGCTCTACTCTCTATGAATATCGACAGCATGTGGGCAGAAGTAATCAAACAACTTCAGGTAAAAACATTACTAGTTCACAACAGAAACATTATGAATCAACCAACCAGGAGCTAGTTCGGCCTTGTGGAGCTTGGGTTAATTAGTCTAGGGGTCTGGAGAGAGGGGTACCCCACGCACGAATGGCATTTTCGGTCTTTGTTCTGTCACTGCTATGCGCTGTTTGCTGTCTGCTATAGATCGCATTCAGACGTACAAAAGAGAGTGAGAAATTTGTAGCGACTAGGAAATGCGCTGAAGCAGCGGCAGCTTTGCAGATCTTGGGTGGACCAAATACTCAGCAGTTTTCTGCGCACTCATAGTTCATTAGAGTGTGTACATACTATTGCGATCACTGATCTAGGCCAGGATTGAGAAGCGTGGAAGCGCTCCTACGATAGGTTACATAAAGTACATTGAAGAAGTTCGCTCCCTTCTGGCTCGTCCTATGCTATATTTAAACCAAAATAGCCCACTAGCCCACCTTCGCTGGTCTCTGAGGCATGACTTACATTCACGCCGGGCAACTTTCTTGCGTAGCACAAAGTAGCCAGTCAAAGGCTCAACACTATTAGCGCGCGCGAAGACAGCCCAGGGCACATCAGTGTTGGAGATTTTAGTCAAGTCTGTTCCATCTCTTTTTTTGGGGGAGGGGTCTATGCCTCTCCAGGTCCGTCTGTCGCCTTCATTCGAATCGCGTGACGGGGAGGGTTAATAAACGCAATGAAACAGGAGGAACTAGAAAGGTTAACCACCGCAAACGTAAATTCGGACCCCCCCCGCCCTCACTCCCGCAGATGACAATCGAGACTGCTTCCCTTTTGCAGCGTCGAAGCGAGGGAAATCAACTATCAAATAAATTTTTCCCAGCCCAAATACGACCCCCCCTCTCCTGGCAGCCAAATACGACCCGACCCCCTCCTGTAAGGAATTCCACAGCAACGATGTGCCCTGAGCCAAGCTCTCCTGGTTATCCCATTCAAATTTTGTATATTAAAAGGATGTGTTACTGCAGCACGCTAGCCGTAAGCTGTTTTGAACCGTGTCGTCAACCAAGTATCGATGGACGGTGTGGGAAACGGCCAAACACACGTTTGAAATTCATGCGGGAATACTGAAAAAATTGAAAAGAAAACCGCAACGACTCCAACGGGCTTTGCTGCTTTAGTCGAGAGTATGATTTTCACATTCTTGCGTCATCGGACAGGCGGCCATTACTTGTTCACAGTCTGCGGTCCAGCGTTTCTCTGGAACGCGGCGGTTCGGCGAAAAGCTTTCGATACGTATCGACTGGCGGTTGGGCGAAAGGGTTTTGATACGAATCGACGGAGTTTCGCCGAACCCACAGAGTTTTTTTGCCTTCGAAGAACGCTAGCTCGAATCGCCGTGACCTTTTTCTCCACGGCAACCGCTAGTTCGCCGAACCGCCGAACTAGCGGTTGGCGATTCTCCGATCGATGACTATTTTTGCTTTTCTCCCAACCGCCGTTTCGTCAGGGTTGCAGACTGTGAACAATGCCTTACTGGAAATCTTCCGTGCTCATCGGCTAGGCGGTGCGTCGCGCGTGCCGACAAGGGAAATAGCGCTTTCTATGTGTATACCCATTTCCATGGTTTCCAATACGAATGTGCTGAAGTCTTAATATAAAATGATTGAAACATTCTCGGTAGATCTCATTGATCATGCTTCTTCAGGTTCCCACAGAATACAAACCCTCAGACCAATCGTGGATGCGAAAACTTCTCCTTCGAGGTCGACATTTAGCAAAATCATGTGAAGAACTTGTACAACGGATCATGGCCTAATCTACAATGTTTTTGTTCAATATTAATTTGTATGTACATAAATGCAATGTTTTCTCTTTTCTACTTTGGCAGTGTATGTGTCCATGGGTATGAAATGCGAATGTAAATGGCTGCTCTGGTGGGCTTCGCGTGCGACGTCGCGTCCGCAAATGACGATGGTTCCAGGTCGTAGATGACGACAACAGGCAGTACGTGGTCAGAAGAGAAATACTCATGAATGTCTACGATAACGGGGTTACATGAAGTTCGGTGGTCCAATCGAATGGTTATCAAGAATCAAGGAAACGCCGCGCACGTCGCCGCGCGCAGCGGAGCGGCAAACTACGATCCTCTTACCCGTCTCCATGTGTCTACAGTCCTTGAAGCTCCCAGAGAGCGACTGAAGCAACATAATACTTCGTGATCAAATTCGACACTGTAAAAAATTACAATGGCCCTCTTGAACTGTTCATTGAGTTACTTCTACACAGTTTCTCAATATGAAACAGAGCACATTTTAAGCTTTTACGACAGCAAAAGATTACGGTAACAAGCAAGCGCCGCGTGAGTCTTAGGTTTGAACAGTAGCGGAGTTAGAATTAGGAATAAGTGTGTTCACATGGTTACAGTACTTGTTCTTCGGTTTTAATGAAGGATATGTCGTTTTAAAGGCAGTTGGCACGATGGTTTCCTACTTAGCCTAAAATGCTAGTAGGGCGCTGTATAGTGGGGAAATGGCGAAAGAACGGAGTGAAACGGTCAAAATCCTGCGAAGAAAAAGCCTCCGTCAATGTGTTAGAAATCAATTTTGGACGAGTTTCCTGTAGGCATCTTGCCAATAACCGCTACGATACGGCT